TTAACATTTGTATACTTCTTCCTTGGTATCTTTGTTGGAGTTTTTGAAATTTTAGGGTCATACCCCTTTTTAGCTCTCAATTATGGCATATTTGTAAAGCTGCATTTTCATTTAGCCATATCAAATAGAATAAAGATAATTAGCTGAAAAATGATAGCTAGACTAACTTTTGACTATAGAACAGGAATATAACATAATTTTTGGTATATCCGACCCTGTTACGAAAATGTTGGTTCGTAAAACCCTAAGTTATTTGGTTGCATAATTTTTCTTAATTGGTAGACTCCATTAAAATACCCAAATTATTTATTAAAATGGGTCTTATGCAACAAATTATTAATATATATTTGGAAATGTCTCACCACAAAAAATTCCGGGTTTTTCACTTATCATTTTAAGGGGTAATCGTAGGTCGAAAGGTCATTCAAGACAAAAAATACACAAAAACACCTTGTTTTCTTGGTGACCTTTGACCCTGTGGGCAAGTACCCTTGTCATTAAAACTCACCATGAATTAATTTATATGTGATGATCATATGTTCCAAATGTCAGTTTGGTGTCTTTATTTCTTCATTTTTAAAAAGCGATTTGAAAAGGGGTATATTTTTCAATTTGTGACAATATCAGTGCGTAAATGCGTCAACATTAATTTTTGAATAACGATATTATTAAAAAACAATCTGCCTAGAGCCATGAAGCTATTCATTCTAGGACAACTTTTTTTACTGATTTAATTATGCAGTTATGTTAAAGGGATAAATTGTTTAATTATTAAGATATTTTGAGTCCAAAAATGTCCCAAGTCCAAGAATTGTGCAGTTAAATTATGTTACTATTGATTTCAAATGAGCCTAATATTATCTGTGTACTGTCTAGACAGCCATGAAACGCTTCCATTCTAGGATAGCTTTCTGTGCCGATTTCAGTTATGTAGTCTGTTAAAGGGATGCATTGTTTAATTAGTAAGATATTTTGCCCCAAAAATGCAAGAATTGCACAATAACATTGTGCGACTATATATTGATGTATTTCCAATGAGCATAACATTAACAGTGTACTGTTCAGAACCATGAAACCTTATATTCTAGTACACATTTGTATGCTAATTTAATTCATGCAGTCTGTTAAGGGAGACAGTCTTTAGTTAGTAAGATATTTTGAACCAAAGAATGGCTCAAGTTTAAGAATTACATAGTAACATATATTTTAAATGTGAGCACAATATTATCAGTGTACTACAGTACTGCATAGGGCTGTGAAACCTTTATTTCTAGGAAAACCTTTTGTGCTTATTATTATTACTATAATTATAATTATTACAATATTATATTATTTCATATTGAACTTGTTAAATTACTTCACTTTATACAGTATAGAATAATTTATCAACGTATGTTTTCATTGTGTGAAATAAGATAAACTAGAAACTTGAACAATGACATGGCAGTGATGATAATGATTATGACATGATAATAATAAAATGTTAAAAGATGACAAAAATTGTTGTTAATATTTTATGTAGAAGTGGATGCATGTGTGATCAACCCGTGTATCAATGGCGGCACTTGTCAAGATCAAGGATCTCAAAGTTACACCTGTGACTGCACCGCCCTCTGGCGGGGAACCAATTGTGAAACACCAACAGGTAATCACAATAACAGAATTGTATATATATCTATTAAACATTTGTAGCAAGCACAGATTAGGGGAGATTTCCTTGCTGATAAATACACAGTACTGGGTAAAGGCAACTTGATTTCTTGCTTCGAACAAGGCATCCATTCAAAGAAAATATAGAATACTAAGATAAGCCTGTCTGAGAGTGACTATAGGGTGGTCGAGACCAGGACATTATCTCTGAATTTAAAATAAAGATTGAATTATGCTAATTATACAACAAGTATACAGAGACTAGCCCATAACATAAGCAATTATATTTAAAAACGTAAGTAAACGTTATTATTCAAATTTTTTTGTATCATTAAAAAGAAATCTTAACAAATATTTTTATTTGTACTCTACTATAAACATATATATTAATGTAAAACATCATGGAGCATAAATACCTAAAATAATAAGCAAATATAATAAATTATCTTAGTATACAGTAAACATATTAAGCAAACTCTAGCAAATTTTTTTTTCTTTATGTATACATGTATTATTTTCAGATCGTTCCAGTTTAACATATGGAATCTTCTTCCTTGGTATATTTGTTGGAATTTTTGTATTATTTGCTGGATTAATTGGCTACATGAAGATTAAACAGGTTTGTCATATGCAGTAATATATATAAAAATAATAGTAATGATATAAATAATAATAATATTATATAATACTAATATCATTATTATATTTGTATTTGTAACATAAAATTTGATAATGTGGACTGAGATTTAAATACAAACCACCATTATTGATATTCCTGTATCGAAGTCTGCACTACTAAATTTTAAAATGTGTTTTCAGAAAACAATTGTAGACAAGAAAAGTAAGGACAGAAGAAAAGATGTGAGTTTTCTTTTATTATAATTACATTAATTATATATAGAACTGATTTAAACAGATGACTAAACCATTACATTAGACCATTTCTAATTAACAAAATTATAGGCCTACAAAATCTGTAAAACTGATCTTTGATTTTACCAAATTTCAGACTTCACAGTTCTATGGAACGTCCGTAGTTCCTACGTACGGAAATAGACCAAAATACTATGGAAATTTATCATTAGATCTAGACCATTAAATATGTCTACACATCGAATAACGTCCAAGCATATGACTTTTCCATCAGAACCTTTGGTTAAATTGTCCCTTGACAACTCAGACTTGTCAGATTAATGATAAATTATTGTGAAAATCAAGAAAAAAAATGACCTATAAATTTTCGTCTTTGTTGTCTTTTTTGGGTTTGTTTCCACAGCTTATGAAACTGTACCTGAAATTTAAGCAAGCCATATTTTGCACTCAAGACAAATTATTAGGTGGTAGGAAAATTGTGTATTTACTACGGATACTTGGACATGAATAGTTAAATGCATTTACTAGTCTGAAATTCGCTACTAACGTCTTGAAAGTTTAAACACATTGCCCGTAATACCAGTTTATGCAAACGTTTTCACAATGGACTTCCCACTTCCCAAGCATCGCATCTAATCTATTCATGGAGAAAGGCATTATATTACGACAATATTCCCAAATGAAAGGGTGCATGATGGCATCTTTGCCACAATATTGCCAACACTGCCTGAAGTCTCACAACACGTCAGCGTAAACATACAATTATACATTTAAAAATATTTCTCCCGTTTTTGATCATACGAGTCATAACTGACAAGGGTGCTCAATCCTCCTGCCACCCGATTTCGCTATGCTGTTGTGCTACATTCTTCTTGGCACTCCCCTTCTCCTCAACATTTTCTTTCATAATTACAATCTTGTTTTAAATGTTAATTGATATTGAATTGTCTTATTTACTATTACAGTATTTGTAATGATTAATAGAAAACAATAATTTATACATTTGTACTAATAATTTTTTTTCGTATTTTAAAACAGGTATATATGGCATATATGACAGACACTGGCAATAACAATCCAGTATATCAAGATCTCCAACATATTAGGCCTAGGGAAACAGATCCAAATCCAGTATATCATGATATTAGGGAAACAGTTGACGATTACATTACGCCTATACCTCAAGACACAAATGAAACAGAAACAGGTTACTGTACGTCTATCGTCATGACAGGAAAATAAAAGAAATTATTTTATCTTTATTTAATCTCAATCTTTACACCACATCAGTATAGGATATGTGGCTTTGCGCTAAAATGGTTCGATAGCTTTCATCACGATAGGTTTCAGAGAGTCCATTTTAGGGGCTCTTTTTCATCCTGGGTACCTGTCTTGTCTGGAGTCCCCCATGGATCAGTGCTTGGACCAACTTGCCGTGCATGATGCCTGTAGATTTGTCAGAGGGCATTTTTTTTTTTTTTTAAATATTCA